CCCCACGTTTGAGACCTTCACCCTAGGAGCTAGAGGCTGCATCCCCCTACTTAGTTTCAGTTCTTTTAATGATACAAATTATTTCCTCAAAAGGCCACCAGCCCTCATGTAAAAGAATCAGAAAGACAAGCCCCAGCAAAGACATTTATAAATATGTCAAGGTTCAAGTTAGTGAAAAAGACTGGGCAGGCAGAAAGCATCAGGGAGCCATGTGAGCATTTCTCACAATGCATGCAAAGCTGTGTCAACTATGCAAATAAGGGCATGCTCCCAAAGTTGGGTCCAGCTGGACTAGATCTGAGCTGGTGTCAGGAAAGGGGTCTAGCTTCTGTTGTACCTGCCTGAGCTGCCAAGTGTTGAACAACCTATAAGTTATTTGTATTTTCATTATAAACAGGTTGTTCTACTTTTTAAATTATTTGCTATCAGCAAAAACTACAGTTTAAGAATAAAGTTGTTAGAAATAACAACAACAACAAAATCTAACTGCATGTTACATTCTCACAATAGTCCCTATAGAAGAGATATTTCAGTCCTTAAAAATAAGCAACCAAATTAAACATCTATTTAAATGTTTTCTCATTTGAAATAATGAGTTACAGAATTTGTGTAAGAGAATACCATATTCTGCACCATTAGCTAATTGAAAGTTCCACTGCAGGTGTGAGAAAGCAGAGACTGCACAATCTTCCTCTAGTAACCGTTTTACACAGGACTGACATCTGATTTCATCCTCATAAGCCTGCAGATGAAACATGCTTTGACAACTGTTTTTGAAAAAAGCAGCTAATCTTTTCTTATATTGTCTGAGTAATTCAGCAGCTCTCAAACTATTGATTAGCTCCCTTTCCCCTCCCTGCCCTTCTTTCAGAAATAGCTTGCGACCTCTCATGAATACTATATATAAATCTACAAGTCTACCCCTTACCTCAGTCTCAATTTAATGCTCACTTTTTATTTTTGTATCCAGATTTTTGTTCATTCCCGCTTTTCCATTTCTCACTGCCTAGACCCCACTGCTTTAGCTGATTCATTTCAGCATAAATTCAAGCATTCACCCCACATGACATGGCCCACCCCATTGGAAGCTACAGACCAATACATGCATAACACAGGGTACTCTGGGGACCAGTAGTATATACTTATTTAGAAGGAAGAACTCCTCCAAGGGTGCATAGGTAATATAAAGTTTGGAGAGGTCTGTGTGTCTATACAGACATTTGGGGCAGATAGAGGATGGCAAGGTGGCTGTTACAGAGATCAACCAGAACTTCTGACTCTCCAAGTCAATTGTCCCTCCCCCAGTATCAGCTGTTGCAGCAAGGAGGCATGGGGGACTCCACTGGTGGAAGCAATTAGGGATTTAGACATTTGGGAAGGAAATTCTAGGGAAGAGGGGGTTGCAAAGGGAAACACTTTCCAGTGGAGTTATTACTTGAGGAGAGCCATTCACCCTGTCCCTCAGGGCGAGAAGGGGATTGCTCATACCCTCACTGCACTCCCACCCAGGCTCAGGAGGAGTCTGGATGGAGGCAGCACTGGGCACAACAATAGAGCATTGTTTCTCTCCTACCAAATTCGCAAGCTGTTGTTGAAAGGGGAGATCAAACAGAACAAAAAAAAAAAAAAACCAACCCCAAAAAACCCCAACTGTGATTACCATGTACCTTCTCAATTTACATTGGACCTTAAATTACCTAATAGTTTCAGTGGTTAGACACACAGCCAGATTGTTCCTTTAATTCCACAGATACAGACCTTGTGTCTAATATTTAGGTATTTGTGCATAGAGTTATGCAGCTAAGCAAGCAGGCCTGTCCCCTGCATGTTATCAAAAGAAGAGCTTCTTATCAGAAGCTAGATATAAATACAATAGCCAACTTTTACTTTCATGATTACCATTGGGCCACATTCTTCCCTCTGTGCAGAATCTCATCACACATTACTTGCATCTCAGAAAACACAAAACATCATAAAAAAGAATGCAAGTTATGTTAATCAACTTGTTTGAATTTTTAATTGAGATTCATGTTTGTTTTGCAACAGTTTCTCAAAGGCTATGCTACAATGAAACACAAGAATCATTTTGAATGAGACTAAATAAAAGCACAAATCTCAGGAAATAATTCTGCATTTGGAGAAGAATGAATAGAAAAGCCTGATTTTAACTAAGATCTACAGGATTACCAAGAGCATTAGGGAGCGTCCTTGCAAAAATTCCTCCCTTTAGTTAAAGCTTTGAAAAGAAAGTTTTTCAGAAGTATGGAGGCACCTCTAATCTCATGGCAATAATTGAGAATTAGAAGTCCTTAGCATCCTTAAACATAGAGCTAGACAAGTATTTTCTAAACAAACTTAACTTTACAGTAGTGAACTATTAATCTGCTTAAAATGAGATTGATTCCTGCCACTGGGAAGATACACAAATACACTGGCATTGTATTTGCCAGTCACTCAGTTGTTTCCAATTTATTGGATGAAGCAAATAATGCAGTATTTCATGGCTGGTATTGTTTTATTGTTTAATATTGATTAAAATATTTACACCCCTACTTTTCAATCCACATTTTAGCATTCATACCTATGGCTTTTACTTTTAGTACAACATCTTTGTGTCAAGTGTCAGAATTTCATTTAAAAAAAACCAGGAACCTGATACCATATAGACAAGTCTTCTCTATATTTATGTTTAAAAATATAAATAGTCATTTTTGAAAATTAATAAGAGTCTGCTGGTAGCTTTCTTCCAGCTCATGTTTACCACAGATTCTACTGAGTTTTTCTTAAAGTGTCCCTTTTAGAGTGTCCTGCTGCCTCCACGTGGAATCAATTTCCTCCCTCACCACCATCCCCAAATTTAATGGGGGAAAAAAAAAAAAAAAGAAATCAGTAGCTGACAATTTAAAGCAAAAAATATAAAGCACTATAACATTACCTACACTGCCTTTTACTGAACTAGGCTTTTGAACACTCTAGGAGCTTTGTGGAAATTTAACCAGAGAGTGTTGAAAAGGCACAGGATTTTTGTCCTCTGAAGCCTCTAGCAACAATGTTTTTTCCCCAGCCTGAAAGTTAGGGATCACTGTTAGAAAACAGCAGTCTGCCCAGAAAATTCACAGGTACCCAATTGGCCACTTACATTAGAACCCATCACATTTTACTGATTCTTCTGCCACAGACACCCTGCAAATCTATAACAAGAGTTTGCTTCTATGGCAAAAGGAAGATGTAACAGTGATACAAGCTATTCATTATTAAAATCCTCACAAAGCTGTCCATCTCTGTGGTAGTTTCTCTTCCATGGTATTACATGAATGGGAAAGTTATTTCTCACATGTGAGAGAAGTTTAGTTGTATGTGAAGATAGATAACTTTGGTCCACTTGTCCAGCTTCCTAAGGATAGCATATTGGAAAAATGACCACTGATGGTTCAAAAACCAATGTAAAAGCTAGCAAAAGTAATTGGGTATTTCATTCCTAAACCTGCAAAGTGTGGTTATGTCCTAGTCATCTACCTTTTCATTCTGTGTCCCCACTAACTGTTGAGTTTAAGTCTTCAGCTTGTTCATAATCTTTCTTATCTATATCATCTACTTGACTAGTTTCCTTTTCTTCTGCTTCTCCTCGATCAACACTTTCATATTCTACTTGTTCCAGGTCTGTTCCATCTATAAGTTCTGCCTGTACTTCTTCCATCTGTATTTGATTTACATGCTCAACATGTAACTGCTCCACATGAACTTCAGCACCTTGTTCAGTCTGAATGTGTTCAACTTCCACGTAACTAATTTGCACCTGTTCTTGCAGTTCATCTATCTGAGTGCCTTTGACTTGATTGTCCTGTACGAGGTCCTGGTGCATCTGTTCCACCGTTACCTGTGCAGAATTCACTTGTACCTGGATTACTGGTAAGACATGGACTTGCTCCACTTGTTCTATTATAGTCATTGATGTTACTGGTTCAGCTTCCACAACTTCCACTGGAAGAACCTCTTCTGTCACTATTTGTTCTGAAATATTGTGTGTGTCTTTGAGATGCCTTCTCAGCTCACTGCCTTGCATAAACCACAAATCACATAAGGTACAGTGGTTGGGTTTGTCACCGGTATGTATTACCAAGTGATCTTTAAATTGATCCCAGCTGTTAAACACACTGTTACAAACCTGAAACAAAAGATATAGTATGTTAAACAGTGCCAACAGAAATTTGACAAAGTATAGTGCCTATTTCAGATAATAGCTTCACATAGTGTAGCTTCTTGCTACTTGGAATAAAAACAAACAAACAAACAACCAATCATGTACATCAGAGGTAAAAGCTGATAAGTCAGCTTCAGATGAACAGAAGACCTGGTATTTATTTATTTTTAAGAAACAGTATGCCATTTTGAGTTCTGCATACACAGGATACCTACAAAATTTATGAGTCTGTACAGCATTTGAAAGTTTTCTTATTTTAACCTTATGTGGAATTCACATACAGATTCACACCCCAATATGTGTCTGGTGCTAGAATTTTGGGTGGAAAACTATTTATGTAATAATATATGATGAAAGTGTAATACAAACTGTCCTTTTACTGAAGTTCTAGATGCAGTACTACTAGCCAACTTTTCCTTATCAGCTTTCATTTGTTCATGGCACTAAGATTTACCTGGCTAGACTAAACTCTCCCATTATACCATTTCAAAAAAATACTTGAGTGATTTCAGCAGATAAAAATCCCTTAAAACTCCATCCCTTTAAGTCTCTTCCAGCTAAAAGTACTGCTTTGACTGCAGACATACTATTTTCACAAAGCACTTTGAGCACGCTTCCTTCCCCTCAGCTGGCACTGAGGTAAGTAGCCTGAAAACAATACACAAAGACTGCAGAAATTAATGAGGTGCCAGGGTAGAAGAGAGAAGAGTGGGGTAGAGTCAGGCTCGGAGTAAAGAAACAGGCTCAGGGGTCTTTGTCCATGCAAGTGTTCTTGGCTGCAGAAAGAAGCAAAGAGCATGCATTTCACTGTTGGCAAATATTTTTGAAACAGAATGTGCCATCTCCTCAATTTTCAGCAACAGCACAGAAGGACGATGGAGTATCTGACAGGGATTAACTCAAGGAACAGGTCTGTGTAATGGAGCTGAATATCCCCATTTTGCTGTTGAAGTCTTAAAACCATGTTTGTGATGCTAGTGACATGCTTTTTGTGTCCCGTCCCGTCCCCCCCCCCGGCTCACGCTTTAGAAAAGTTGCACACACACTTCTTAGAAGACTAACCTTATAGAGAAGCACTCAAAATTACTTAGTCATACATAAAGGTAATGACTATCAGTAATGCCCAAGCACATAATTACTGTTCTTGTCACATGGAGCCTAATTCAGTACTCAAGACTAAAATGAAGAGCACCAAAAGTGCTCATCAAGCAAGCGCAATTTTGTTTTCTCCTCTTTGTTCAGTGAGACAAGATTTTATTTATCAAACACTATTCAAATTTAGTTCTAAAGAGAAAAAAAAATAAAGAAAAATTTATCCAAGAATTGCTGTAGTTGCTACTGGCTGAAATAACACTAACCCACACTCACAATATCCATAACAGAGAAAGCTATGAGGTAAAGCAATTAAACCAGAGGGTCACAAAGACAAAACAGTATCTTCAGTGAAGCTAAGTACAATTTTGTGTTCTTATTAGTTCTCATGTTCAAAACAAACTTATCTTTAAGAAAAAGGTATGCCCCCAAGAATTAACTTCAGACTAGCATAACAACTGAACGATACAACAGCATCAGTGAAACTTCTGATTACATGATTTGATTAGCAACACACAGAATTCATTCATCTCCTGCAGTATTCACTGCTTCCTGTGAATACGATCACTGTTTTTTTGGAACAAATAAAAGCTGATATCCAGCAGTTTTCTTTACTACACAATCCAATTTAATCTCAAACCACACAATCCAATTTAATCTCAAACCACAGCCATTCTGTGAACTGAATAAGGTGAGAGCCTTAAGGGGGGGGGGGGGGGAAGAGGGTGAAGCGTGTTCTTATTTGAGACTGTCACAGCAGTGGAGAAGCAAAATGGCAAATAGAAAATCAGAGAATAGTTTGGGCTGGAAGGGACCTTTAAGGTCATCTAGTCCAACCGCCCTGCAATGAGCAGGGACATCTTCAACCAGACCAGATTGCCCAAAACCCCATCCAACCGGGCCTTGAATGTTTCCAGGGATGGGGTATCTACCACCTCTCTGGGCAACCTGTTCCAGTGCCTCCACCACCCTCACAGTAAAGAATTTCTTCATAATATCTAATCTAAAGCTAGCCTCTTCCAGTTTAAAACAGTTACACCTCATCTTCTATCACTATACTCCCTGATAAAAGAGTCCCTCCTCATCTTTCCTGTAGGCCCCCTTTAAGTACTGGAACGCTGCAATAAGGTCTCCCCAGAGCCTTCTCTTCTCCAAGCTGAACCCCAACTCTCTCAGCCTGTCCTCATAGGAGAGGTGTTCCATCCCTCTGATCATTGCTGTGGTCCTCCTCTGCACCCGCTGCAACAGGTCCATGTCTTTCCTGTGCTGAGGGCTCC